GACATTTCCAAACATTTAATCTGATTATTTCACATTTGTCTTGTGTCGAGCCCATACTCTTGATTAGGTCGTAGTGTGAGGTGAGGCCATCTTTTACTCCAGTTAGAATTCCACTTGCAACTTGCCGGTATTTAGGTAGATTGTACAGGATGTAACCTGGGAATTGGTAATACTTCAGTTTGCCATCCGAAATGTTTGCTTCCATAATTGTGAAAATGTCTACATCATAGATTTGCAGGGTTTTCTGTATTGGATCTTTTTGTCCGGAGACATTCCTCCATCATTCCACTGGAGGATCTGAAGACTTAGTGATTCGCCCTGACGAGCGCGATTTTTCTTATAGCCTTTTTTAAAGCTAATCATAATTAATCGAAGTCAAAAACGAATGCCGAGTGATAGACTTTTTTGCCGTAAGAAAATACGTTGTCCAGGGTGCACCACGAGGAGGTAAGTCTATCGCGCACCCCCGAAAATGAATATAATTAATTTGAATTTCAAATATATCACTACCACCCTTCCCCTCCCCCTCCCCAACCCTCGAACCCTTTATTGAGTTAAAGGGGGTCCCCAAAAAGTCGTCAAGCGCTTAAATGTTCCAAGCATATAACTTAGTCAGAGAAATAATTTTTTTTCAAATGTGTTCATCCAGCGGTAAGACAACTTACTGCGGAAGTGCATGCTATCTGAGTGTTAGACCACATGAGAGGCTTTCTTTGAGACCAGTCGATTTGAAAATGATTGACCTCTTTTGCCTTCATAAATGACTATCTTGTCTATCAAATTTTCTATGTAGTTGGTGTAATGTAACATAGCATAATAGTCAATGCCATTCAGTATTGAATCGGATCCGTGATCTCTGGCAACATTTTAGTGAACTTTATTGTCCTTTTAAATTTTCTTTATAGACCCCACCCCCCTGGCATGTTTTCGACCGTGAAGTCTATTAGCTAAATTTGACCAATGTGGTAGTCTATTCCACTCACTGGGAATGTACCATTGGGCGAAGTTTATACACTTTGCCATGGTGATAGTGTTTCTAATGCAAAGAAGTTTCTCAATTTATCAAGATATATGTCAGAGACAGTAATTTGACACTTCAAGACAAAACGTACAACAACTAAATGTCTGTAGGTGTAGGCGAATATTTCCTTCATAAGTTACAAGATGAATAATATGCGTGTATTGAAAACTTCTTAAAACTGACCACTTAATTTCTGCTTTAAAAACTATGGAAACCAATTTTTAAATAATTCCTTGTTGTGTTTGAGTGTAATAAACTTCACTTAGGACATCGAGTTATTAATCAATAAAGTATAATAAAATCGCAGATTCATTTTTGAATCACCTCGAAATAATTTATATTTTTAACTTCAGATAAAATTATAAGATATGACTTCCCCGAGTTTGTTGCTGCATATTTACAAATAAATAAATTAAAGTAATTCTTAGCTTTTTCTCGTCAGGTATTCGAAAATAAAAATCAAAAAGTTGGCACATACAGATTTGTATTTTTAGATGCTAAATACTTAAAAACTGTAATATTAGCTAGGAAAATATCAACCTATGCTATCCAAAAATATTTCACTGGAAATTTGCATGCTACTCGTCCGAATTTCAGGCACTATTCCCAAAAGAGAATTAAGATTCGATAATTATATGACAATTGTGAAAATTTCCAAAGCCAATACCAATTATTAATGAATGAAGAAATCCATCTCGTTATGAACGAGAATATACTATAACCAACTTCTAACAAGGTATCTTCCAATTATTGCATAATAATGAATAAAATTATTGATGACGAAAATTCAGAAAATAGAGCATAGCATTAGGGGATAACGGCACAATTTAGTTGTTCATCTTCCATCGCCATTATTTTTTAAGTTGGTAATAAGTTTTGAAAGAATCTGATGGCTAATTTGAAATCTTCTTATGATCGCAACTAGTTCATATAAACTTAAATTTCCATACGAGGTTGTGGATATATTGAGACTCCTACTCCTATCAAAAATTTAAAGTCGGAAATTTTCCTGATACAAATAGAATTTACTACCACTGGTACTTGATGGGTACAAAAATTCATGAAAATACATAGATATCTATTCTTCAGAAGACAAAAATATTTCCGCGCATCTTTCAACATGCAACAGAAATCTATTTAGGCAATTTCCGCAAGATCTAAATATCCCACCCTCTCCTATCCTCAACAGTCAGTTCCTGTAGCCTTAGGTCTTGTGTTCAGATCCTAAGGTTTTCAAAAGGAAATTGTCTTCTGCAAACGAACTAGTTGGTATTGCAGCCAGACAGTGGCCAATGCAATCCAGGGCCTTACTTCTTATCAACAAACTTCTGTACTTATGAATAGTTTAGTTATATTTATTCTGACTAACACAAGATTCCATATCACTACATTATGTTACATTAATCGATTGAAAAATTATTAAAACGAATAAAGCGATAATGTATCAATTTAGTTCAAGTTATTAAAAGCCATTAATGAATTACCTTTTAGTGGTGAAAAGAGTGGAGACATGGTATGAAGACGACGCTCCAAATAAACATATCAATGACGATCCATAAATACAAGCAATGAAAACTTCGAAAGAACCTCTTGCCAATCCAATAAGTTTTAAAGCGAGTACGATGCTAATCGGTATCCATGGTAGATGGGTAGCACAATTAGCAACCTTCTCTGAAGTTGTGGGATTATAAGGGGAACTTTCTCTGCCATAAGACCTATTCCACCTAAGAAATTTTTTGAATTTACATTGATTTTCAAGTTACTTCATAAAACTTTTATTGATTTAACAAAAGACTGTTTGATTAAATTCATATAAAGAGCATTAATTTGTTTTTCATAAATACGTACATTTTCTGTTAGGTTTATTCTGGGAACGCAAACCCAACGACGAAAACCCTTTGCAGATAGCATATGAAAGTTCTCCTTAACCATCAATGACCTTAGAAGCAACACGCTGGTAAAGTTAAACATCTTAAATTATGTCAAAACTCGCAAAACGATACAAATAGTTCTTGAAAATTTAATTAATTTATAGCGCTATTATATTATAATCAAATTATATCGTAACATTTGAAATTACGGAATTATAAAAATTTAAATCACTTGTAAATTTAAAAAGTGTACCAACAAATGAGTTAATTGAAATTTTATTTTTCCCAATTTTTGCACTTACGCCAACGATTCATAAAATGTTTCTTAAATAATGTCAGTGTGTTAGGTAAAACTTAAAACATTGAATCCTAAGTTACAAAGTGCGCTAAAGTTTAATTACTTCCATATCTTTAACCAATTTTGGAATTGCTTACCCAAATACTATGTTTGATGCGAAAGGCGTTTAACCCCGTAATCTAATGGCCTATCAATTTTCCATTGAGAATATCTAGATAAAGTTCAAAGAAAAATGTCATTTAAGTGCTTCCTCCAAATTTAATACATGTAAGAACGTTGGGTTTTATGGTAATTCATAACTGAGCATTGGTGGAAATAACTTGCATAAGTTAACATGCTTAAAACGCGTAAAAATCTCATGATTTAGAATAAAATAAAAGATTAATTTCTTCACCTGTATTTCAATTTTTAACCTCAAGATTAAAAACTTTAGCTTCGATGTTTATCTGATTTCATCAATAATAAATGTGGTATTTCGAAAATTGTAAATTAATTCTAAAAAATTTGTGAATTTTCTTATTTTTTCGTCGAAAATTGTATCAAAAATGCGTATATTAAGCGTGCAGTCTGAACATGTTTCGAAAAAGTTCTTAGTCTGAATTATGACCTACAAAAATACTCAAGGTCTTAGCGGAAAAAAGAAAGGTGTATGCTTCTAGCTAAATTAATCGAGCTAGTTTAATGTGGGTTTATTTTCTCTTATAATGAGTCTATTTCTCTCTTACTAAATTTATTCACGTTTTTAATGTTCTAGCTGAAATATAGTTTTACTAATCTCTTTACCCGTGCCAACTTTATTATGTCTATTTTATTGATGTATTTTTAGCTTTCAACGATTCATTATATTAACTTTTAAGAATTTTTTGTGTTTTTTGGCATACTTAGATGTCATCGTCGAAAAATCATCATCTGACTTTGCGATCATCTTATCCACCCAACGAAAATAGTCTTTCACACAATCTATCAAATCTTCCCTCCTCACAATTATTCCCTTCTTACAGTCCTGTTTTAAACCTCCCCCTTGCTACTCCAGAAGATTCCGACATCGATACTGGATCTATCGCTTCTACTAGAGTGAGTTTCCTTTATTCGCATTTCTATTCCCCATTTATTGTTTTTTTATAAAATTCTTCAAAATGTGGTATTTTTCTTTTTGCACAATCTGTTGGGTTATTTACCGCTTTCAATGATTTTTTCCGGCAGCATTTTATAATATCTATGCTTATTTTTCATAAGAGCTATGTATTTGAATATTTTGCTCATAATAAATCTGCTTATTTGCAAGTATGTTCTTCTAAATTATTGTTCTTTGTAGATTAAATAAACACTTAAGGTATATGAAATTCAAAATCTGAAAATAATTAATAGATATATTTTATTGGACGTTTTGGCGCTTTCGTAAATTAGTCTTCCAAATTGTGCTTGATTTCATAAAATGGGCATTATATAAATATACACTTGTTAATCCCGTTGATGGACTTTTAGACACTTAAGAATGGCCTTTATATTACCAATCATTAAAGGTATAATTCGTTATCTGGTGAATTTATGACCACTACTTTTAAAAATGCGCCTATAGCTTAATTCATTTGTTATTTGTAGAGACTGATAATTACTCGTAACTAGACTAGATTGGTCAGCTCCCCGACTCTTTTCTTTTTTTTCACTAAAATGCTCATCGCTATGTATTCGTGTATTTCGATCCCGTTTAGGCAGAATCGACGAAAACTGGAATTATAACGACGTTGCCTCTTCTGACTTGTTATCTTTCCCTGAATGATATTTTATCGGTTAATGAAGTCAATAAACTGTAATATTTAATATTTTGCTGGTCCCGTTAATACGTTACTAGCTATTCCATTCTTATAACCTCTGGCATTCAACACAAATCAAAATGAGGAAGGAATAAATCGCCGATTTAAAGATCCGTTGTGCACAAAGTGGAGACCCGGAATAATGTGTGAGAGAGATTATAGTTCTAAAAATGCCCTAACATAATTCAGTCTGGGGGAATGATTTGGAACTTTCGGTTTAAATGCTTGGGCCTTAGATAAATAGCTTAGGAATGTTTACGACGTGTGTTCAGAGCTTGAGAGTCTAATGTGAATCTTTAGCAGGTTATTCCACTAATTTAGTTATCTTCATTCTTGGTAACACGCTCTCGGTTTCAACGAGCCCGTTTGGGGTCTATATAGGAAAATTGATTGTTTGGAAATATCTGTCCAACTCGAATTGAAGGATTCGTTTTACATCTGATTATATAATTATGTTACTATTGATAAAGTATTTATCTCACGAATATTTTGCTTTTAACATTTTTGCTTTAGAGACGATGTAGGTCCCTTTAATTATATCCACAAAATACAATTATTCTTAATTGGTTACTAATATAGGTGTGTGTTCGTCCAATACCTGAATCATGTTGTTAATTCACTAGCTTGTTATGTGATTTCCCATAAAATTGGAGCATTTTACAACAACTTCATGAACAATTAAACAGATTATGAAGTTATTCACCCTTTCTTATGGTCAATTCATTATTCAGCCAATTGCGAGGTTGATCAGACGTCGGAAAAGAATAAGTTCAGTTCGGCTAAAAACTAAAAAATAAACCACTAAAAACCCCTTGAATATTTTCGATCATCAATTGTATGATGGATATGAAATTGTGAATGAAGTCAAAAGTTTCTGTATGGCCTGAAGGGTAACGTATCGATGAGTATGTGAACTAATGATCCACTGTTCCCAATCTGGAATCAAATTTACAACAGTCCGTTAATTTTACATAAACCTAATTAATTCCGCTGAATAACAGCAATATAGTCATCAGTTTTATTTTCTGACACATTTTGGAAGGTATTACAATGTTCCCGCCTTATGGAAACTGTTACAATTCGCATCCTTTGTACTTTGACTATTGTTTTTTCTATCAAAATGTATAAACTTTTAAATGCGCTGTCAACATGGTAGCACATGAATATATGAATGCGAACGTTGCTTCATAAATAAAAATGAGTTAAGAAATCGCATCAACCAGAAATTTGTTTTCTAATGAAAAAATGAAAAGGACATTTGTTGAAGAGCATTTAATCGGGAGTCTTTCTAATTTGGTGTTGACCAAACTCAATGAGAAGAGTAGTAAATTACGGCCGTAATAGTTATTTATTTATACCAAATGGCAACAACAGCAAATCGAGCATTTTACAAACAGACGTTTGAGTTCAGTTTGTGTCCAGTCCCCGTAATTGAAAAAAATATAAGTTTTTACAAACAAATTTTGCTGTTAGTGGCAAAAAAGTTAAATCCCCAAGCAAAGGTTGAATGCTGCTTTACTTGATCATGGCTTGAACGCCTTCATGTCTACTAAAGCCATAACTGAAATGTCTAGTCAGGCGTATATAATCCGCAATGATCACTTTTTGGCTTAAGAGGTTTAAATCGGGCGATAATTGGTTAAATGTTGCACAGAGAATTAGGATGCTCTTCAAATTCTGGCGATGATATATTAAGATCCCTTCTTGAATCAGATCATCGATTACCCATGGACGATTTCTCACATCCATGGTTAACTGTACAACTGTACTTGAATTGCATCAGTATTTTGAATAAGGTTTGTTGTTTGGGTACTGCTGCATCAACTCCCAATTTCTCACTAAATTATTATCGGACTCCAGAAGGGGGTCCCTCACGATGGCTGTCATCAAATCAAGCACCCATTCTGTCCTCCTAGTCGAATCATTGTTAACCTTTTTAGAAACTTCGTCCATGCATTTGATAGGATGTATATGGAATAATCTAATTGGAGTAACTAAACTCGGGTAAAACAGTTGTAGCGTAAGTTATCTTTCAATGAGTTAGTAAACTGAGGTGGAAATTAGAAGCTTGACGTCAAAGTTTACTTAGCAACACGATAGTGCCTCCCTTGGAGGTCCCCACAAAATATGAAAGATCAACAGCATATTCCTCAGATTTCGCTCACACCACACTATCATCTTCTCAGGTGCATGGAGCATATTCGAAGAGAAAAGAAACTTTGAATTGGGACTGCAGTCGAAGGCCACTCGAAGCCAGCCAATTTTTCGACTGGGGGGGGGGACGGGATGAGGATTGAAAACAGTAAATACAATTTAAAGATCTACAAATGATGACTGAAATAATAATAAAGTATATATAATATCAAATACATCACTTGAAAATAAATAAAATTTCAATATCACCTTCAAAATTTGCGATTTCTATCTATCTGTCCTTGCCTGTGGGCTTAACAGGGACGTTGGAGCTTAATGAAAGTGCTATCGATCTGGAAGGATTTCTTGGAATATATTTGGCATTCATCATCGACATTTCTGTGTTTCGATTTGTGACGCTCAGTTTTTGACTCCATACACTTTTGTCATGTACTTAGTCAGATCGATGCGTCACTCGTTGATTAGAAATTTAGCCAAAGCAAGTTTTACTGTTTCACTGGATTATCATTTAAACTAATGGTCGAATAAAGAATGCTATTTAAATTGGGGGGGGGGGGGACAAGATAAGAGAATTCAGTTTTATAATCAAAACTTTTACATAACTAAAGTTACAACTACTATCTCTGATTTAACAGGTTAGGATTGGAGCTTAGGTTTCAAGAAAAATTTAGTAGATAGGGCTTTTCCGACTTCTATTCAGTCCAAGCTTGCCCAACCACAAAGAAGCACCATAGATCCTCCTCCTCCTTTTGGACCATCTCTTTTGTTTTCTCCTCTCCTCACATTTCTAATTCAATAGAAATTATCTGCCTGATTCTACTGTCTTAACAACTTGTTATAACCCACTTAGTCTCCCAAAAGGGTAGTGAATGAACAGCAAAAATACACATTCAAATGTATTCCGGGTAATTAAGGAAATTTGAATAAATAAGCAGATTTTATAAATAAATAACAATAAGTTGTTTACTTATTTCTTCTCGGACAAGAATTTTTCATTTTATCTAAAATAAGTCCTATTTCAAAAAAAAGAAATATATTTTAATAACCCATGGAATTCAATTATATCGTCCTAATAAGAGGCTGGAAGACATGATTCAACGCGGGCAAGTTTGTGGTGTGTTTTGATTCTCTTTCTGTGCACATGGCCTTCTTTTCGGTCAGATGTCATATCTTATTGTCCGGATAAAGATTTAGACCATTTTCTTGACCAAATACGCCATCATTTAATGGCAAATTCAGTTCTACTGGTCGAAGTTATTATTACTATTTTCATCCTAAAAATTAATTCAAGACCCATTGGTTCTCCTCACAATTCTAGCAGCACCTTGAAAATTCAGCTTAACGTTTTTTTTAGTATCTTGGTAATGGAGCATAACAAGTACCCTGAAAACAATGTACCTTCGGTTATATTCTTTAATTACCTTATAAAACGTGGAAGCTCGCATGTTCAAGGCTAATAGCCCGAAATATCGTTAATAAGATGACCCTAAATGCGGGAAGGCCCACTCCTAAAATACTGATCATATTTATGCTCAGAGATCCCATGAATGGCACCTCTGAGATCCTAATAAATCACTGAAATATTCGGAAAGAGTACATCTTATTAGAAATCCTGAGATTCCATTTGAGCGGAGACGGCGCGAAAGTCATAAGAGGAAGCCTGAAGAATTCGAATGGAATCTCTCGGCACTAAGACCAAATTAATGGCACTAGGAAGCGATCTTCACCAGCACATATCCAGTGGTGAAAATAACTATAATAGTTAATATTAATTAACAAGAGAGATGGAGGAACTAGAGATGTTCCTCCATGGGATTTATTGTAGCCAAGTCAATTATCCTTAATGTCTCCTCCAACTAGTTTCGGAATCCGTTTGGAGTAAAGAATCTAAGTCCTCGGTTTGAAATGCTTGACGATGTGGAAAATTACAACGGATGGCAGACTCTTGTACAAATGACGGCCCACTGTCCTGCATAGTTTCTTAATTATAAATTTTCTAGACCAAATTTAAGTTTTTTAAATGTGAATTTGGAATTCTATACTCTTACGAAGTGGGATAGTTCAACTTTACCACCCCCCCCCAGCAATGCATTACTTTCCCTCGGATTGAGTAGCATACAAGAAATAGCAGTGAGATCTCTTATCTTCCACCTGGGAACTATTACATTAACCGATCAGCCACACACACATACACACACTTATTATGTTTCATCCTAAGTGTTCTTTTCGTTTGCTTTTTATAGGATAACACTTCTTCTAATTTCTCAACTAACACAGTCCTCCACATAACTCCGCCCTATTCCAATCGTAGTGCCACTCTTCCCCCATCCACCAGCACCCAACGGCAGCATCAGGGAGGTCTTAATGGTCACAACGGTATTGGCTTCAACCAAACCGACAGTACAATTACCCTCAATGCGGGTACTTCTCTCTCTTTCACCGCTGCCTCCTCCTCCACAGCATTTGTGTCAACGGCAACTACTGGACAGTTGCGATCGAAGGGCTCCAGTTTGAAACGAAGGAGCACTTTGCCTAGACCTCTAGGGGGTCTCGTTGGGAACCCCAGTGCGTCACGGATTCATCGGATCACTTTGCTCGATGGAGAAGCTTTGGAAATACCTTTGGAGGTTAGTTTTGTTTGGCACATCCTAGTACTTGAAAAACTTGGCCTATCGATGCTATAGCTTATGCGTTAATTTGGAGTTTCAGTGTATACTTATTGAGTTCCACATAGTAAGTTTTATCTTTTGCGTTTACTTGAAAATTTCTTCCCCAATTCGCTTAAATACATTTGAGCATTAATGTGTTTTTTCGTTGTGTTTTATGCCACATTTAATTCAGTTCAACCTCGGTCGTATATTTTGTAATGGGGAAATTTTGTTGCCTTGGCAACTGTTTTTTTTTCTAATTTCCACGAACAGTGCTGGCTTAGTTATTCAAGCAAGGTTACTGAAACTATCAACTTAATAGTGTCAGTAATATTAAGTCAATGGAAGTAGACACTACAATGCTATAACTTCCACCAAACAAAAAAATGTAACTTTTTTCTCATTGAAAATCGACCTTCAGTAAAATTTCATTCCGAATAAGTTTAGGAAAAGAGACTTGGGGTTTCAAATGTTTTGCTCCTTCATTTTGGGGTTAGGAATTTGACCCTTTTACACGATGGGTGGTACGTGTTCCAAACTTCAAATAGTTCAAAGCGTCACCCAAATTACTTTAATGGAGGACCGGCTGATCTTTTAGCGCTTCATTTCACCTTTTCTTTCTTAACTTAAGTTCATTAGTTGATTAATTTTTTATAATACTACAGAAGATTTGCTTTTAACCTTGTTTAATGTCAACTTCTTGACTTCCTTAAGATACAGAGTGCAATTCTAGGCGTTAAAATGGCATGAAATTTCATGTTGCTGTTCGTGTTGCTTCAAGATTTTTTTCTCAACTCTTGCGGTTTTCTTGCACATTATCCTCTCTGTTGATTCACGCAACAAATTCACGTCTTTAGCCCACTTAAACTATGTTAAAGTTGGCGGCGAGATGGCCTCCATTTTGCAGGGGCAATTTTTGATCATATTTTGGATATAAGTGTGCGTTTTCAAGGCCAACTAAACGAAGAATGCACTATAGGCAAATTTTCGATTAAAAATATTTACTTTTATTTACTGTTTTGGCAATTCTGCGTCATCAATTGACGTGATTTAATGGTTACAACAAACCGTCCAATGTTAGCGGCCTTCTTCTGTTCGGTTAATGTAGTCTGGCACTCTTTTTATATTCTTTCATGTCCCCATAACTGTGCTGTGACGTGCCGCAGAAGGATGTCAGAGGCGGGATTCGAATATCGCCATTATTTATTTATATCAAATGGCAGGCATTTTCGATACTTATCATTGGCCCCTTAGTTGACGTCGAGCTTCACAGAGGGGAGGGAACATCAAAGTGAAAAAAAGTCGAGAGGGGGGGGGGTGGAACAGAAGAGTGCTTCAAAGATGTAAAAGAAACAGACACAAAGGTAGAAAAAAGGTGAGGTGAGTGCTGTGGAAGTAGTCGCATATGGCACACAGTGGGGTGATGGTAGTTTGAAGTCAGAAGTCAGCAGCCGGTTAATTGACTTTTTTACCGTATGAGTATACGTTGCCCAGGGTGCACCACGTGGAGGCAAGTCTATCGCACACCCAATATTGCCATTATTTTAATGCGTGCTGGAAGACAATTCCCTTTGGGCATTGCTTAGAACTTGATCTGTTCGATAAAAAGTGCACTAATTGCTGGTTTTCAGAGGAATGTTTGTGTTTATCTGTACTTTTACAGTCGCATGCTATGTTGTCCCGTTTAAATTCCTTTCAAGGATAGACCTAATTTTTCACAAGTTTA